ACATCGTGTTGTAAATTCAGAAATTTCCCGCTTCATTGTGGGCCACCAATATGTCTTCTTCAGATCTTGGAACATTTTATTACTACCAGGATGCATGGTATAAGTGGTTTCGTGAGATTCACGCATTAAACGTTCCCTCACTTCGCCACTAGGAACTACCAAGCGATTCCGGTAGAATAAAATTCCATTATTTACTGTGAAATCTTGTCTCTCCCCCTTAGAGACAAGTTCACAAGTCTTCAAACAGTAGTCATCACGTTTTTGTGCAGCATGAATTTCGTTCTCAAGAGTAGGTTGAACTCGGAGTTCGGCTATCATCTTTCGGCTCAATGCGTCAGCAACTACGTTAGCCTTGCCAGGGTGATAGTCAATGTAGCAGTCGTAGTCTTTGATCAATTCCAACCATCTTCTCTGTCTCAGGTTCAATTCTTTTTGAGTTAGCAGGTATTTTAGACTTTTGTGGTCTGTGTGAATATATGTCGTCTCTCCAAAGAGATAATGACGCCATATTTTCAAAGCAAATACAACTGCTGCTAACTCAAGATCGTGAGTCGGATAGTTACATTCGTGAGGTTTCAACTGTCTTGATGCGTATGCCACGACTTTTCCGTCTTGCATGAGTACACATCCCAAGCCATTATGAGATGCATCACTAAAGATTGTGTAGTCTACACCTGGTACTGGTTGAGTCAGCACAGGTGCTTCTGTCAGACATTTCTTTAGTTTCTCAAAGCTTTGCTGACATGCATCGGTCCATACAAATTTCACATCTTTTCTCAGAAGTTTGTTAAGTGGAGTTGCGATCGAGGAAAAGCCTTCAACGAATCGTCGATAGTATCCAGCTAATCCAAGAAAGCTTCTCACTTCACGAACATTCCTGGGAACCTTCCACTCGGTGATGGCAGATATTTTACTGGGGTCTACCTTAACACCTTCTTGAGAAATCACATGTCCCAAAAACGTAACTTCATTAAGCCAAAATTCACACTTTGACAGTTTGGCATATAGTTTATGTTCTCGTAGGATGCTGAGTACTATCTCCAAATGTTTCGCATGGTCTTCTCGATTCTTCAAATAGACAAGAATATCATCGATGAATACAATCACGAATTGATCAAGATAAGGTCGGAATACACTATTCATGAGATCCATGAATACTGCTGGAGCATTTGTCAAACCAAAGGGCATTACCGTAAACTCATAATGACCATAACGAGTACAGAACGCAGTCTTTGGGATGTCCTCTTTCTTTACAGGGATTTGATGGTATCCTGACCGTAAGTCAATCTTAGAGAATACAGTAGATCCTCTAAGTTGATCAAATAAGTCATCGATACGAGGTAAAGGATATCGATTTTTGATTGTGACTTTGTTCAATTGACGGTAATCGATGCAGAGTCTCATCGAGCTGTCTTTCTTTTTAACAAACAGGACGGGTGCTTCCCAAGGGGAAACACTCGGACGTATGAATCCTTTATCAAGTAGTTCTTGTAGTTGAGCCTTCAACTCTTTCATTTCAGCAGGAGCCATGCGATAGGGAGTTGCAGATATCGGTCCTGTTCCAGGAACAAGATCGATGGAAAATTCTATTTCTCTGGAAGATGGTATACCAGGAAGTTCGTCAGGAAATACGTCAGGAAAACCACATACTGTCGGTATGTCTTTCAACTCAGGAGTTTCTTTTCGTGTGTCACGTACGTTACACAGATAAGCTTCACATTTCTTTCGAATGAGACGCTTAGCGTGTATGTACGAGATGAATTCAGTGGATCTAGGTGTTAGATTCTCTTTCACCTTTATAGACTTTCCCTCTCCAGACTTTAGTTGAATCGTTCGTCGTTGGCAATCGATAATTGCTTGGTGTTCGGTGAGCCAATCCATTCCGAGGATAATGTCAAATTCTTTGTACGGTAATTCGACAAGATTGGCAGAGAACTGATGTCCTTCAACAATCAATGGACAGTCTTGATACACATGATTTAACCTCATACTATGTCCTAACGGGTTAGACACTAGTATAGGTTGTTCTAAGTTTTCTTTCATTATGTCAGCCTTGTCAGGCATAGGCACGCATATATAAGATAACGTTGATCCAGGGTCTATCAACACATGCATGACAGAATCAAATAAGGAAAACATACCCTGAATGACGTCAGGGTTTTCCTCAGCTCGTGGCTTCATTGCATAAGTACGAGCAGGAGCTCGTCCCTGTTGCTGACTCTGGTTCTTGGTCGGATTAGATCCCGCCGTTGATCGTTGACTTGGCGCAGGTCGTGCTGATGCTAATTGACTGACAACTGGGGCTGTCGGAAATGGTTTGCCAGGATTAGTGGGGCAATCCCTTCGAAAATGTCCAGGTTTGCCGCAACCTAGACATAATCCTTGGGCAAGCCAACACTCGCCTGGATGATGTCTCCCACATGTATCGCACAATGGGTGTTTCCACCCTCTTGATTTGTTTTCCGACGCCACAGAGTGCGTCTGCACCGATTTCCCTTTCTTTGATAAGTGTGAATTGCTAGATTCCTGAAGGGGCCTTTTTCCTTTTGAGACAGAGCTGATGGGACGGTGAGTGTTTGAACTGACATTATTTGTCTTCAGATACTCAATGCAAGCACTCAAGTCGCTGTCTGCCCTGGCTATGAGATCGTAGGCCTCTGCGAAATCCACGATGGTTAGTACGGACACACGCGACCTGAGGTCAGGTCGAAGTTTCTTCTTGAATTCCTCGATGCGATCGGTTGGGGTACTCACCAAGGTTGGTGCAAACTTAGCAAGTCTGGTAAACTTCTGTCGATACTCGGGGAGTGTCATGTTTCCCTGTTGCAATTCAACAAATTCTTTACGTCTTTCTTCGCTAAAACATTTTGGAATATATTCTTGCTTGAATGCCCATTCGAAATGTGCCCATGTCCATGGCTTAGGGGTTCCTATACTCTCATCGGTCCTCTTCCACCACTCGTAGGCTTCCTTTCGAAGCAATTGAGAAGCCAGTCTGGGATAATTGTCCATGGGTACATTGAGATCTTCCAACACTCGGGCAGTCTGCTCGATCCAGTCCCACGCAATCTGGGGTTCACCGATGCGATCCCCAAGGAATAAATCTGCATCGTTATCTCTTAGCGTTTTGTAGGTTATCACTCGAGGTGGCGGTGGTGGAGGTGGTTGAAACATTGGCGCGTTGGCTATTTGTTGCAACACATTAGCTAGAAAAGTTGGAATCACAAGGTCGGGTTGACCACCAGCGTTTGGGTTATTCCCAACATTTTGTTGATTGACGGGTTCATTTTGGACGGGAGGGGTGAAACTAGATGCTTCAGTATGAACACTGACGTGTTCATTGTTGCCTTGTCCGTGGGCGGATTCTTGACTCATTCTACAATAACAGAAATTCCTTTATTAGGATTCTTTTACTTTAGTAGTTGAGTTCATGACAGGAATTGCAAAGGATTACAATATTCGATACAATTAATGGATTTGAAACAAACAACGAGAATTTTTTTTTTAAACGTTTGCATTCGTTCGATTGGATCGTAACGATTCTATAGCTGGGTCTTCTACGCCCGATCCGCATACGCTATTTGCAGAGTCTATCCTGAATGTCTCTTCCGGGTCGTCCCGTTCCCATGCAGCCTTGCGGCGCAGATAAATCTTTCGTTTCATTATTCGTGCGAAGCGATGGGCGCGTTGATAACGTATCAGCGAGTCATATACATTTCGTTTGTTCTTTCGTATTTTACCATGTACGAAAGTGCGACTTGAATCAACACTTGATATCATTTCCGAATTAACAGTTGACATCTATAAGGATTTAATACAGTCAAATTCCATACTTAATATTTTTTTTTTATTACCTTCCTGGAGCAGAGGGATGCGAGAGTCGTGGATGTGATTGACAATAAATTTTTTTTTACCCAAAATATATATAATATATATTTTTTTAAGTCAAACATTGATCTGAAGATCGTGTTTAAAACCATTTGCTCCGATACCAAATTGTAACACCCTAATCCGTCCAGGTCTGCAGCCCCTTTCGGACTAAAGTATTGATTTGGTAATCGTGATAATTTAAAACATTTCAAACATTTTTATTTATAAATAATATTCCATACATAATTGTAGAAAATACGGAGTGTTTAATAATAATGCGGAAGCGACTTTTAAACATGTCTCATAACAACATAATTATTTATTTTGTTCAATGATCCACCACAACTGTCTCGCCCCTTCTGCTTCCAGGAATCAGCCAATCATTCATTCTACCTACCTGCGTGTAGCAAATAAAACACACTACACGCTCAGCGGTGAAGCTGAGTAAGCATATCTAAAG